ATTCGAAAGTAACTCTGTCTGTCTGTCTCGCTTTCACGCCTAAACCACTCAACCGATTTTGATGAAATTTGGCATAGAGATAGCTTGAGTCCCGGGAAAGGATATAGGATAGTTTTTATCCCGGTTTTTGAAACTGGGACGGGCGCGATAAAGTTTTTCTGTGACAGACAAAATTCGACGCGGGCGTAACCGCGGGCGGAAAGCTAGTATACCTACTATAAATCTAATTATTAAATAAAATGTTTAGTATAAAATAATGACAAAAGGTATACCCGGCGCTGTACTATACATACCCTATAATAGAAAACATCAGCGCCAATAGAGATATTCATCGATTTTACAAGTTAAGAAATTATGATTTGATAAAGCCACCAGGCTACTGACATGTGAGAAATAAAAAAACGTACGATGTCCATTGTAATATGTTTCATCTTCTCTCTTTTTAAAATCTAAGCTACGTAGTTGTGGATTTTACTTTAATGATGCTAAAGTTACAGTAATGCCCGTTTTCACCAACAATCCCTAATTTTAAGCGACCCCTATGGTAACACATAACAGGAATTTGGTTTATGAAGGGGTCACTTAAAAATTTGAGATTGATGGTGAAAGCGGGCATAAGAGTCTTATACAAACCATGTTTAAAACATAGACCTTATACATAAAAGCAATCCCAAACATTCTGAACCGAGAATAGAAGGGAACGGCAGAACCAACTTTACCCATTCAGTATTAAAACATAAACTCACCGTTGCATCGTTGCCGTGCAATTTCAGGTTATTGTTTAGCTAAATTGTTGCGTGAATTTAGTTTACATTTGCCCGAGGAAAGTTAGTGTTGGAATAGAATTTCCCAGTTACCGAGATTAACCTTCATTCACAATATTAAATAGACCTTTGCTAGCCTCTCAACGCTTCAGTTTAACGTAAACTGTATTAAACGTAATAGGCGCTGTTTAGAATTGAAATATACATATATAGCATTGAACGAAGATACTTTAGTGTAAAAAGTTTGTTTATTTTTATTCATTATTTTAAATTAGTTCCTAATGAGATCATTAATAAATCGATCAGTTTATTTAAATATGCAGTGAAAACAGTTCTTTTATACAATTAGCTTTTTAAAGATCATGTAAATCATAAATTAATCACTTTATTAATGTGTCTGCGCAGTACCTCTCTGTACCTACTTACCTATATTAAATCGAAGACTATAGTCTTTTTCACCTAAGATGATCCGTATGACGTTTCGAGTTTGAAAGATTTAGAGATGTCACATAACTAAACCATAGCGATTTATCTATCGATTTTTTTCGAAGAGTTAGTAAAACCTACTTTTAGAGAAATATTTTGTATAGGTGTTATTTAACAAAAAACATGTTTTTTTAATTACAAATATTAATGTAACAATTTTTTATTGATAATATTCAAATTTCATAGCTCTTGTTCAAAAAAACGATTCCTAAAAAGTACTGGTTCTGTTTCTTTAAATTAAAAACTATTAATTTATTTTCAATGCGTTTATTAAAGTCAATAATCGAAAAATGTAGTTGATTTTTGTGATGTTTTTAATAACTAAGTATTCACTGCAATCGATTAATGAACCGCGGAAATAATCGATTTTATCATACAAGAAATACCCTAGCACTAAATCTATTCCGTTTCACACATTGCGAACATTAAATAAAAAATATTTTTACATGGTATTTAATTAAAATATAATCAATAGACTCAGATTTTACTATATATTTCAAGACAAGTAGTTGATTTATTTTTATTATATTGCTGATAAAATACAAATATTTTTTTCAAAAATATTCTGCATATGTAGTATGCGTAATATGGATAACCTTGAAGTGTCATACGGATCATCTTACGTGAAAAAGACTATAATATTTATAAAAGAGAGCCAATTTTTAAGGATTACAGCTAAGGAAATTAATCAACGGAGTCGTGGTTTTTTTTTAACAAAATGATTCCATTATTTGAAAGATAAATGTACATTACAGATATAATCAGATGGATATACAATTGAAACCATCATAGCCGTGGTCATAGAGCCGTTATTAATCAATTTCAGAAAAAATATCCACGTTAAAATAAATTGTCTTAAATATTTTAGTATGAACTATCTTTTACTGATGAAATTGCGTTCCTAATTCTAGGAAGAAACATACATAGTAACACTGTTTCCAGAAAAATGTAACACATAGTATATTGTGACTAAGAAAAGCCGCGGGTAAAACTTAGTTATTTCACGAAACCTAGTCCTTAACCAACCAACCAAGTTATAGCTAACGGTTAGGCTCGCAGACTTGGGAAAAAGTTAAATAAAAGTTGGAAATCTATAAGTCACAAGAGTTCATAAAATTCTAGGAACATATACCTACTCCGTAATTTTATACGAAGTAAGTACAGCTCAAGACTCTCAGGAACTAAGAGACTCTTACTTAGGTACATACTCATAAGAAACATATTTAGGTACATACAAATATTCCAAGTTTCAACAAATCCATCATCATCATCAACAGCCCTTTACAGTCCACTGCTGGACTATGAGCCTCCTCCACTATAGTGGAGGGTTTTGCCATAATCTCCACGCTAGGCAGGCGGGTTGGAGATCGCAGTTTAAAAGATTGATGTTTTTCAGAGAGCGCTGCTGCCCATTCTCTGTTTGATGTGTAGTCCCTAAGTCGCCTCTTACGACACCCGCGGGAAGAGTAGGGGTTGGTGACAAATGTATTCTACTCTGCCGTCACCACACGGCTACAAATCCATATTCACAAATAATTATTACTAATTATCAGCCCAGAGATCTAAAAAACAAAATTGGTGTCCGTTAGTGCTGTTAAAATATTGCGATGTCTCAATTACCTTTATAATAATGATTAATTAAAAATATCTTTACTACTTTTCTACTTCTAAATAAAATTCTCCAATAACGTAGGCGTCATAAGCTACAGAATAAATTCGAAAGAAGAGAGCCAAAAATAGACGATTTTAATTAAAAACACCGTACCGTAATAACTTTGCTACATAATAATACATTTTCTGTAAGAACATTTTAACATATTTCCATTTTCTCTTTGAAGAACTAATCTTCCAACGTTATTTAAGACGAGGTCGCTTTCCGAGTACTGTAACCACTAAGTATTAAGAACAGCCATTGATCTGCGCGCGTTCAATATTGAACCAGAGCAATTTGCCGCAAACTTATTGTCTAACTAATAAACCCAGCAAATTTTATACCGCATACGGTATGAAATGGTTGGTGGTAGAAAATGGTTTGTGTGATGCGGTATGCGGCATACCGCATTACACAAACCATTTTCTCACCGTTTAAACCTTCCCTGGACTACGAAACACATTATTTTCAATTTTGATCAATATACTAAAAAATACTGTATGGGACATCATTACATGATTGACTAGCTTTACAGTCTAGCGTTAATTTTTAAACATTGCTATCAGTTTTTGCAGCATACAGTTTTATTAATGACTAGCTTTCCGCCCGCGGCTTCGCGCGCGTGGTCTTCATTATCTACATATTTTACGGAACCCTATTTTTTTCCAAAATAAAATTTAGCCTATGTTACTCGTGGATAATGTAGCTTTCAAATGGTGAAAGAATTTTTAAAAACGGTCCAGTAGTTTTTGAGCCTATTCATTACAACCAAACAAACAAACAAAGTTTTCCTCTTTATAATATTAGTGTAGATAATAAAATTAATAAATAAAGCAACGACTCCCTTGAAAAAATAATTTCATTAAAATAATGAAAGATAAATTTTAATATTATTATTTGAATACGTTACTATACTCGTACTAACGACGCGTCTCTATAATATTAAACTGGGATATTTATCTCATATTAAAATTTTCAGTAAAATATATAAAATAATGTTTGAAAACGCATCGCCGTAACGCGTTTCTTCAGTGTCTGACAACGATAGGCCTACGGCTACGGGCCGCCTCGAACCAAAAGATATCAACGAATTTTGCTCTATCTTACTAACTTTGTAAAACTCATTTACTTTTTTATTTGTTTTTTATAAGTAATAATACACAGTATATATTCTTAAAAAGCCGTATTAAAATATTTTAGAATAGTATTAAAGGCAAGATGAATATTGGCTGTAGTAACGTTATGATAATCTCTACCTATTTATTTGCTATCAAGTTATAATGAAAATTAAATGCAAGTCTATTATACACTTTTATATGTATCTATGTATAAATATGTAGTACTTATTAACTACGTACCTATCTAAAGTTTAAAATAAATTCTAATTGATTTTAGTCTTATGAATAAGCATTCAATCCGCAAATAAACTATTTTTATATTTTGAAATCTTAACTAATAATAACTTTGCTACATAATAATCTGATACTAACCCATTTTCTTGCCTGCGGGTACGTGCATTTATAGGCGTGTTTTACTTCAAGCTGGTTGTAACCATAAATAAAAACAAAGTGGATTTGATATTGTTAAGTTTGTTTGTCAAAACTTATTAGAAGTTTCCAATTTATTTATTAAGGAGTGACTAGAGCTAAGTTGTGAAGCAGTGTACTTAATAGCAACTTTAAAGTTGAAAGCTCATATAAGTAAATGATACCCAAATAAATGATGCTACTTATTTTAATGTTAAGGAAGCATCAAGAGAAACAGTTTATTATAAATTTTAATTTACAATAATATCTACTTTAGTTATAAATAATATTGATATACTTTTTCACTACTTACCTAAGCTTTTCGCGTCATTTAATTTAGAAGCTCGAGTTTGAACTGTGTTTTCACTGGTAATATAATATGTGTAATACATTATATGTATGTACAAAAACTACATATTGTAAGCCGTCACCAACATCAATTAATTTCTTTAATGTAACTATTTTGTAAAAAAAAAATAGTACGAGTAGATGTAAAGTTCAAGACACGGCAATACTTTCAAAACTTTTGCAACAAACACAAAACTTTTTTTTTGTAAAAAAAAAATATCTCACCCAGTGCATCGCCCCCCTCTCCTCGTAAACTCCCATCTGGGGATCAATTTTTGTGTTTTTCTTTAATCGAACGTTTGGGCCGCCGCCCCACTACACTGCACTGACACGCATGACGCACTAGCGCGGCCCGCGGCGTCCGACGCGCGACTGGCGTCGGGCGGCCAGCGGGCCGGGCCCACCCACCCGCCTATAGTAACGTTGACGCCCTCACCGCAGCGTTTTTCTTAAATCACTGTTTACCATAACATTTTTTCGGTACGCTCGATTTTTAATTTGTTATGATAGCACACTTTTGTTTGGAGGGCGGTGAACTTTGTTTTTTTTTTGCAATAAAATAAGTTTGGTGTTGCGTTACTTAAATGGTCACGTGGTTAACCCATAACGTCGTCAACGTTAGGCAATATGAATTAAAAATTCCATGGTTCTTTCAATACCATCAAATTAATAAGATCAGTAGGAGGTTGATTACATTTTTGGAACTTGTCTTTGACACGATTTCATTAAAGCACATAAGTAAATTCCGTTTTTTTACAAAATCCATTGAATCGTTGAAAAAAAATTACTTACAAATAAATAAATTACTTACTAGATTTTCTTACTTTTCCTAGAATTAGGTTACCACTTTTTTCTAGATCTTAAACAAATGACTGAATTGCCTCTCTAACCTAACCTACCTGGCGATGACTGTGATTCGAATTATTAGGATTTTGTTATTTAACATAAATAGCAATATAATTAAATTAAGATTTTAAAATCATAAGTATTGTCTTTGTGATCTTTTTAATATTCAAAAGATAATTTTTCATGCGATAAATAATGCATATTTTGTAAAACTACAACAATCTTTATTAAATTATGATTTTAGTGAAAATATTTATTTTTGAAAGCATGTAGATAGTACTTAAATATCACCAAAAGATGTTATAATATTAAAAAATATTATTGATAAAATAAAAAGCCCGACTGCGTAAGAACTGAAAAATGGTATTATATTAAAATGAACTGAAAAGATAGAAAGAAGACAACTTAGTGGTCACAAATGCAGTCGGAGGCATCAAATAAGTACTATCTACAATACGTTCCATCATATTTTGTATAACTAGTTATTTTGTTGGTGGTATTATTATGTATTATGCCTCTTATCACGGTTTTTCCATATTATCTCCAAAATCGTACTAAAAAGGCACGTACAATAACAATCTAGGGCGGGAGAAGATCATTTAAAAATAAATTGAATTTTATTTCGTTTAACAAAGATTCATTCATCTGGTTTAAAAAGGTAATGTGAATATGATCATCGTCATCCTCATCGTCATGATCCTCATCATCATGTCACTGACTAGACTGCAGGAGCACGACATTGCCAACTTTCAAGGAAAACTAGTAATGGTTAAGTAAGATAGATCAGTTAGTTTAAGGGCTGATTTTTCAATCGTCAGTACCTCTAGTAGGAAAAACTTTCGAGTTCGTTTCGTTGCGTATTCAAAGTGTCATCGAAAAATTTTGTATGAAAAATTAAACAGCGCCCCCTATATTATAGCCGCCCTAGGGGGCGCTGTTTAATTTTTCATGCAAAATTTTTCGATGACACTTTGAATACGCAACGAAACGAACTCGAAAGTTTTTCCTACTAGAGGTACTGATATCCTCTAACTGAAGAATAAACTTGTCATTTCGACGTATTTCCCATACTAAAACTGTCAATGTGCCAAACTTATTCTTCAGTTAGAGTTATCCGACGATTGAAAAATCAGCCCTAAGAGTAATAATTAATAAGTAGTCGTTTAACAAAAGGATTATAAAATTTCATACCGAATAAAGATTCATTAGAATAAATTATTTTTATTGACTTTAGATTGTGCTTTAGATGAAGTAATTGCTTGCTTCTGAAATATATTGTGATAACGACGCGACGGACAACTACGGAACCCTACACTGCGCAATTTTTATTATTTTTTAATGTCAATGTTAACCTTATGAATGTAGGTATCATGTTTTGGTAAAAATAACCAATCTTTCCATTGTAAAAGTTGTAGGATTATTGTATAGGTACCTACCTACCTATAATCGGATTTACCTATTTTCATCATGTACGTGGTCGCTTACTATGGGCCTCATAAGAAGGCTCAAGGTCACCCAAAGGGCGATGGAGCGGGCTATGCTCGGAGTTTCCCTGCGTGATCGAATCAGAAATGAGGAGATCCGTAGGAGAACCAAAGTAACCGACATAGCTCGCAGAATTGCTAAAATCAAGTGGCAGTGGGCGGGGCACATAGCTCGTAGAGACGATGGCCGTTGGGGCAGGAAAGTTCTCGAGTGGCGACCACGGGCTGGAAAACGTAGCGTGGGCAGGCCTCCTACTAGGTGGACCGACGATCTGGTAAAGGTCGCGGGAAGAGCCTGGATGCGGGCAGCGCAGGACCGTTCATTGTGGAAAACCTTGGGGGAGGCCTTTGTCCAGCAGTGGACGTCATTTGGCTGAAACGAACCAAGTTTTATAGGCAGAGGAATTATTCGGGTTGCAAAAGCTTCGTTGATTGGACTATTAGACTAGGCGCAGACCACCGATTTTTAGTTGTGCCCGATTTTAAATTTTATGAAGAAGGTGTAATGAGCGCACTTCCATACATGCCCATACCTGATCAACTGCCCGACTAAACTATCGACTATCGGCTGACGAAAAATCGATGGTCTGCGCCTAGGCTTAGACTAAGTATGTCAGAGTAAATACAAATGAGTAGGTCATCTTCATAGAAACGCACCGAGCGCGGTTTGTATTGGCGCGCTCACATACACCTACTCATTTGTATTTACTCTGGCTATGTTCATAATTTTGTAACGTATTGTTTGCTACCTCGCATTTTGTCAGCAGCGTTGGAAGAGATACCAGCGCCCTCTCTTAGCTATTCCGAGAACTTCCAATTAGCGATGATACGAACAGCAATCTCTGTATTCGCCGAAATTTGGTTAACCGACGACCTATAGTTTGTAGATATTCCTGTCAATAAAGGTTAACCTTTTCGATATTCTCTGAAATTCTGATGGAGTCGACAACAGCCAAGTGCGAGTAGGATTTACGCATGAAGGATTCCGTTCCAACGTTAGCGTACTTTTTATGAATTGTGAAAACGAAAGTTTCCCCTCCCCTAAATTTTGTAGGGCAATATGTACTTATGGTTAAGAATAAAAAATCTTTAAGTGATTTTACTGGTTGCTCTTACCCTTTCTATCTGAAAACAAAAGGAAATAGAAGTCTGAGGCACAAAATATGAATCCCATCAAAAACAATACTTGTCAAAAAAACCAAGTCTCGCAACTCAGTTGTTCTACGGTAAAAAGTTGTGAGATCCATGTAATACCAAGTCCAGGCCAGGAAATCTTTAACGTTTTACATAAATTATTGACTTGGCCATCGCACTAAATAATTTAATTTACACGTGTTTTCATGCGATGGCCAAGTCAATATATTTATGTAAAACGTTAAAGATTTCCTGGCCTGGACTTGGTATTACATGGATCTCACAACTTTTTACCGTAGAACAACTGAGTTGCGAGACTTGGTTTTTTTGACAAGTATTGTTTTTGATGGGATCTCATTTCTTTTTGTATTTTGTAGACAGCAGTTATGTATCTAGAAAACTGGACCGAAATTGAAAAATTTTACTCGACTTGGCGGTTGCACTACCGGATGGCCAAGTCAAATAATTTATGTAAAACGTTAAAGTTTTCCTTGCCTGGACTTGGTATTACATGGATCTCACAACTTTTTACCGTAGAACAACTGAGTTGCGAGACTTGGTTTTTTTGACAAGTATTGTTTTTGATGGGATCTCATTTCTTTTTGTATTTTGTAGACAGCAGTTATGTATCTAGAAAACTGGACCGAAATTGAAAAATTTTACTCGACTTGGCGGTTGCACTACCGTGCCCCCAAATATTTTAGTTTTTCCTTGATTCATACACCAAACACTACTTATATTCCAAATTTGAAGCTTCTAGGTCTGCTAGAAGTGCCTTAGAATTTTGATGATCGGTGAGTCAGTGAGTGACAAAATTAAAAAAACTTTGACCCGTTATAATTCTTAAACTACTGGTTCAAATTGAATGAAATTTGAAATATACCGTGTCTTTACAATGCCTGCATAGCTAATGAAAATTCAGCCTTCTAGTTTTATCCACAACGAAGTTACAGGCGGTCGAAAATGGCCTGAATTGCTTCGAGCTTCGGCACTGCGTGCCCCCAGATATTAAGATTGTTGTTGACTTCTATTTTTTAAGAAATTATGAAAGATGTAAGAAACTTTTTACTTTTTAATGTGGCTTCTATCAATGATATTAAGTACTTTACTATGAAATCATTAGACATCCCTGTAAACATATCCCTGTTATTTAATTGTTTTAATATTGATGTCCCTTAAAAAAAATTTAAGAAATAAAAATGTTTTTGGATTTTTCCAATTTATTTATTTATTAAATAGTTGAAATACAAATTAAGAATTACTTTTGTTATCTATTTATAAACTTTATCATTTCCTTCTCTGATTGCACAACTTTTATAACTTCTTTGATTCAGCAAACGGGTCGGTTGCAAATGGATTGTCCTGGAACAAAAGAAAACTATTTTAAATATTCCCAAAACCAATCACATATAGTAAATAAAGTTTTTTTTTATTTTGTCTCACTCCAGGCTACTCCAACAGCGTTAGCTGGTATTTTCAATCGTGTTATTAACAGACGCAAACGCTTGCAGCGTTTCAGCGTTTTGTATTTCACGTCCAGAAGCAAACGGAACTAAAACTGAACTTTCAAAACTTAAGAAAAAGTAAAAATGATCTTACAAATGATTTTTAAAGCGAAGCGAAATCATTGGAATTTCTGAATTCTAACCAAATCCCAACTAATATTATAAATGCGAAAGTAACTCTGTCTGTCTGTCTGTCTGTTACGCTTTCCCGCTTAAACCTCGCAACCGATTTTGATGAAATTTGGCATACCTAGAGATAGTTTGAGTCCCGGGAAAGAACATAGGATAGTTTTTATCCTGGTTTTTGAAACAGGGACGCGCGCGATAAAGTTTTTCTGTGACAGACAAAATTCCACGCGGGCGAAGCCGCGGGCGGAAAGCTAGTTCTTTATAAATAAGTACAACATTTTTTTTTTCAATTTAGGTACATGCCCATTTCACATTGGTAACATAGATAATATAAAACTTCAAAATACACTTATACCCGTTACACAAACATTACTATGTGCTCTCACAGTGCGCGTGGACGCACAGAGTGACACACGAACCAATCACAGAGCTCTATTCTACGCTGTGCGTCCGATTTGCTGCTTCACTTAAGCAAGCATCGTTTGTGAATACGGGCGTTAGCGCGTTTTCTATCATTACTTGGGTAACCGACCTCAACCATTAACGACTACTAGCGCCATCTCTTAAGAACCACTCATACTTGCTATTCAATCTTCAAGTTGCATTCATTGCACGCAGTTGCGCTAAACCTGTTCGTTCGTTGGTTCGTTTCAGCCGAAAAACTTCCACTGATGGACAAAGGCCTCTCCCAAGAAACCTGCACATTTACCTAATTACCATTCAGACAGGTGGCATTAGACTAGTATTATTACATTGTCTGTGATAGAAGTAAGTATTTCGTTGTAAAATTTATTATATAAAATCTATTTATGATCTAACCATTTATTTATTTTTGTGTCTTTTATTAATTAAAATGCATCATTAGTAGTTTGGTTTCCAATTTAGAGAAATAAAATGGTAATTTTAAATTAATCAATCTACCTAGTTCTAATTTTTTAGCATAAAAGACATTTAGCAGCCATTGAAACTGTAAAACTCATAATCCGCATCCCTGAAAAAGTTTCGCGCGCTCCCTTTTTGTATTTCAAAACAATTTTATATTATTTTATTATTTTTGATGAATATAGAATTTCACTAAACAAATGCAACGATTATTCTGGTACATTACAGGCATATCACAAGCTACAAATCTTTCCTCTTTATAATATTTAGTATAGATGTATTTTTTTTTTTGAAGTTGGTTTTTGGGAGACAGTCTCACAATAATCGAATTCTACTATAAGTCTAAATTGTACTAAAAATATTGTAATGATTGTTGTGGTGAGGAAATAAAGCATTTTTTTTTATATTATTATTATTTAGTAGGGTAAACCGTATAGCTATTGCCCACTTAAAGATTTCAAAACCAATGAGATGAAAAATTAAAGAANTTGTCGAAAGTCGAGCAAAATTAGGAATTAAAAATTACACTATCCTCATATCCTCACTTACCATGTTAATTACTCACAACTAGGTAATTAACAAAGTAAAAAATTGTGGAATCCTTAATGTCTGGGATGTTGTTTATCGTTTTTTATAAACGATAATCAGAAATTCAACAATGACTTTTGTCCAGCTAGCTTGTTCTACACGAATCACAGTGCGTCTTGACAAAATCCGCCATAACTGTTTTTTTTTTAGTGTTTCCTATTGTAAATTATAAATCTACTGTACATTGATCTCGGAGCCATCTACTTAGTAAATTCAAATCTAACTAGAGTGATTCAAAGTCAGCACCTGACAATATTATTCTTAAAGCGGGCAATCACTACCAGTGGGCAATCACTCTCTGGTTTACCCTATGTATGTTTAATGATTTTCTAGGGCTTAGTACACCTTTCTTCTTTAATTTACCATCTTAGAAACAATTTTATTGACCCTGTCCTAATTTCCATTTGTACCTTGTAACATGAATCAGTAAGACGACTTAAAATAGCTGTAAACTGCCCTCTGTGTACAGGGGTTGAATAAAACAAGTCCGCAAAACACCCTTGCGGAACGCCCGTAAACCTCAGTGTTTGCAACTTTTAGGGCATATCGTCACTGTCAGATGGCACTGTATAAAAGGTACGCAATAATAAACTTGTTATCCCACTATATTTAAATCTTTTAATTAAATAACAATTAATCTAAAATAGTAAAATATGACAAATTAATGTCCAGAAAATCAGACCAAAAAATATTTGATGAGAGATCGTGATTATTTCAATGCTTTCTCCTACTTACTACAAGGAAGTACTTGGCCTGCCTCCTTCCTATTCTAATTCCTATAATTTTTCTGAAAAATATTATTGGCAGGTAGTTGCTAATTGCTCATAAGATAAGCCCCCTTAATTGATATTTATTGTCCGTGGTGCATAATCTTTTCTTAAAGGTTTTAAACCTTTGTTTGTCACCTGTCATCCGCTTTGCAATGGAAGGAAGTCGAACCTGTATTTCGAACTCCTCTTATGTTCATCTGATTAATTTCGTTGCGGGTCCAATGACAGTTTAACTTTCCCCCGGGACAAACTTGACCTTCATTGGTTGGGTTTTGTGGCGGTCAAGCTGTAGATCCTGGCTACACAGGAGTTGCAGTGGTGGGAACGAGAGGTGGGAATAGTCCCGTTATTCTAATTCCTACCATTACTCGTAATAAATGAGAAAGTTTGTGGGGATGGATGTGATGGACGTTATGATTCATTTACGCAAAAACTACTTTACGGATTTTTATTAAACTTTACCGTAGGTATAAGTGTTTATACAATAAATAAGTAATCCAGTTATTAGTCGATAAATAAAATTACTGTAAAAACTGATAAAAATGAAAAAAAAAAATGTGCAAAAAAAATGAAACTAACTGTGATTGGTACCCAGTTAATCCCAATCGATTCTGGGTTGTTAGTCCATTCATCATGGACACTCTACTTTCAGTTTGGTCTTAGTACAAAAGTTAGGTTTTAGTACAACTTAGCTTTTGCTAATTTAGCTTGCTAAGGGAGCTACGAACTAAGTTAGGTTCTGGCACTACATTTGTGTTTTGGTACTGACGTTAGGTTTAGGTACTAAAGTTGTTTTGGTACAAAAGTTAGGTTTTGGTACAAGTTAATTTTTGGCACTACATTTATGTTATGATACTGACGTTAGGTTTAGGTACTCAAGTTGTTTTGGTAAAAATGTTAGGTTTTGGTACTAAAGTTAGATTTGGTACTAAAGTGAGGCTTTGGAACAAAAGTTAGGTTTTGGTACAAAAGTTAGTATTTGGCACTACATTTATGTTTTGGTACTGACGTTAGGTTTAGGTACTAAAGTTGTTTTGGTACAAAAATAAGGTTTTGGTACATGTTAATTTATGGCACTACATTTGTGTTTTGGTACGGACGTTAGGTTTAGGTACTAAAGTTGTTTTGGCACAAAAGTTAGGTTTTGGTACAAAAGTTAGGTTTTGTTACTAAGGTTAGATTTGGTACTCAGGTTTTGGAACAAGTTAGGTTTTATGGCACTGCGGTTTTGGTACTAAAGACTGGTTTTGATACAAAAGTAAAGCTTTCGTGCTACATTTAGGTTTTGGTACAAAAGTCAGTTTTCGGCACAAAATCAGTCAGTCAGGTTTTGGTACTTAGGTTTTTGGTACTAAAATAAGGTTTTGGCACTTAAGTTAGGTTTCAAAAATCAAAATCATTTATTCAGTTTAGACCACAAGTGGCACTTATGAACGTCAAAAATAAAAAAATAAAAGGTAGCCCTTATGGGGCACTTTACATGTTTTGGTAAGAAAGGTAGCTTTTGATGCTTAAACGGATTTGGAAAGTTAGGTTAGGTTAGGCTTTTGGCACTACATTTTAGTGTCCGACCGAATATGGATTTTCAGCCGAAAACGGAAACGAAAACGAAGCTTCGGCTGCAGTCTCATTTTCGGCCGAAAACGAAAACGAAAACGAAAATGACCTTCAACTCTCAAATTTCAATCTGAAATTATGTAAAAACTTTGAAAACCGTTAATGTTTTGACCAAAAACATAGATGTTTGACAGTTGTTTTTGATAAGGATTGATTAAAGAAAACCGGCATTAAAACACAAAAAATTGAATTATGAATTCTTAGTAGAATATTATTTCCGGTGTATATTGAAATATTGGGAAGTGAAGAAGAAATAAAGGGTGTCCAGTGGGAATTTTTCAACTTCAAAAATGATTCATACAAATAAATTAATGATTTTTTATTATTTATTACTAATGCAAACTGGAGTTTAACAATGCGGATTTATTTTTTTATAGGCAATGTCTTTTAAATGATGCCCGTTTTACTATAGGCACTTGAGAGTGCACAGCCGGACCCTTACATTCGCAACTATGCGAGAGCAAATCGCGCTAATAATTTTCCTGCAACTTCACGGCGGATATTTTCTTACAGAACCTGAATTATTTAAGGATTGTTTTGCTGTAAACTTTTGACTTGAGATATCCCCACAAGAAAAAGTCGCATGGTGTGAGATCTGATGACCGAGGCGGCTAGAAAAAATAGTCCTCAGTGTCTCCATCGAGGTACTCTCCGTGTGTGGTGAGACACCTTCTTGCTGTGAAGCAAGACACATCGACCAGTGACTCATGGCGTATTTCAAATCCGCATTAGACTCTATTTTGAAACAATTAAACTTAATGAAAACTCTTTGGTTTTATTTGTATTCAATTTTGAACTTGGAAAATTTTCGCTGGACACCCTTTACAATGTAACCTCACTTCAAAACTTCAATAGAGTGTGACAATACCGCGTCCGGTCAAGTCTGATTGGAACCATGAGTGCATCAGATTCACTCCTGAAGATATCGGAACGATAAACTTCACCATCTTATTCACGTATTTCTGATATTCGGTTTGGCCGAAGCTTCGGCTGGTTTTTGGCCGAAAACGAAAATATGGCCGAATGTCCATTTTTTGGCCGAAAATGGCCGAAAACGAAAACGAAAACGAATATTCGGTCGGTCACTACTACATTTGTTTTGGTACTAACGTAAGGTTTTGGTACTTAAGTAAGGTTTTTGGTACTAAAATAAGGGTTTGGCACTAAAGTTATGTTTTGGTATAAAAGCTAGTTTTTGGTACAAAAGTTGGGTTTTGATACCTAAGTTAGTTTTTGGCACTACAGTTATGTTTTGGTACTTGGTACTGATGTTAGGTTTTGGTACAAAGGTTAGGTTTTGATACTAAGGAAGGTTAGGTTTTGGTACTGAGGTTAGGTTTGGGTACTAAAGTTAAGTTTTGGTACAAAAGAAAGGTTTTGGTACAAAAGTTGGGTTTTGATACAAAAGTTAGTTTTTGGCACTACAGTCATGTTTTGGTACTGACATTAGGTGTTGGTACTTGGTACTGATGTTAGGTTTTGGCACAAAGGTTAGGTTATGGTGCTAAGGATAGGTTTTGATAGTAAAGAAGGTTAGGTTTGGGTACTAAAGTTAGGTTTTGGTACAAAAGTTAGGTTTTGGCGCTACAGGTGGGTTTTGATACAAAATTTAGTTTTTGGCACTACAGTTATGTTCTGGCACTTGGTACTGATGTTAGGTTTTGGTAGTAAGGTTAGGTTTTGGTACTAAGGAAGGTTAGGTTTTGGTACTGAGGTTAGGTTTGGTTACTAAAGTAAGATTTTGGTACATAAGTTAATTTTTGGGACTTAAGTTAGGTTTTGGTACAAAAGTTAGGTTTTAGTAGTAAGGTTAAGTTTTGGTACTAAGGTTATTTAGGTTAGGTTTTGGTACTAAGGTTAAGTCTTGGTACTTAGGTTATTGTGGTTAGGTTTTGGTACTAAGGTAAGGTTTTGGTGCTAAAGTTAGGATTTTCAAGTTGTAATTTGATGTTAAAGTTGTTTTTATTCTAAAAATTATGTTTAAATTTTAAAATTAAATGACTTGAAATCATCACTCTAAAAAAGTAATTTATTAGGTAGTGTAGTGATACGGCTTCCCTCTTTCTGTCTATACGTACAGTGTGGAAACAATAAGTAATTTCACTCGATTATTTCTAAATTGTACAAGATATCGTAAAACTGGTTACCGATTCTGAAAGTGCTTTACGAGGTCTTTCAAACGATACCAATAACAGGTTACAAGATATACTGGAACTATCTGAAAATTCAATGCTTCTAGCTTCCATACTAAATATATGTATGCCAACCACATAATATTACAAAAACAAATTATTTATTTGCAACAAATATTTTTTATTAAATAATAAACTTTAAATAAACTCTTAAATTGCATATTTTTTTAAAATTATATATGGAAAACAGTAGTTTTAGGCTTTACTTGATATAATATACTCAACATCAAATAAATCGCACCTTCCACAACGCAAACTTTAAAGATTTTGTTCTGACACAATCATGGTGCCCCAACAATATTTGTCGCGGGGGGTGCGATTTATTTGACGCCGAGTGTATTATCAAGAGATGAGTTCCATGAGTGGTACTAAATGTATGGAAGATGGAAACATTGGATTTTTGGATATATCCAGTTTATTCTGTAACTTAATATTGATACCATAAGATAGAGCTCGTGAAGCACTTTTAGGATGAGTAACCAGTTTTATGATAGTTAGGATTACAAGTAGGGAAATGTTAGGTTTTGGTACAAAATTTAGGTTTTGATACGAAAACAGAAGCCAGTTTTGAAAACATCACACATCAAGAGAAGTCTTTAACCAATTTGTGTTGCCAGTGATGTCATACGGATCTGAGACGTGGTCGCTTACTATGGGCCTCATAAGAAGGCTCAAGATCAAATAAAAGGGCGACGGACCGCAGAATTTCTAAACTTAAGTGCCAGTAGGCAGGCCTTCCACTAGGTGGACCGACGATCTGGTACCTACAACGGGTAGTACCTGGATGTGGGACGCGCAGAACCGGTCGCTGTGGAGATCCTAAGAGGAAGACTAGGTATGTCAAGCAGTGTACGTCGTTTGGCTGAAACGAACGAATGGTAGAGGCAGTAGCAAGACTTACCATCCCATACTTTGATATGCGCCCTGACTGTGCTGAAGGGGTAGTAGGCGCACTCCGTCCCAGACATGTTTTCCTGGTGCGGCAGGAGCCAGCGGCTGTACCAAGAACAGCAGTTCAGGCAGTACTTGGCGCAGTCCTCGTAGGGAAGGCAGTCCGTCTTGTAGTGAAGCCAGCCGTACCACTCAGCTGTGACCTAGTGTAATTATTACATATTAGAACCTACATCACGAAAACAGTAGCATGAAATCAATCACTGGCCTCCACACACATCTATCTACAACATGCTGGTTTTTTATATTCAATCCCAATCCAAATCCGTCCGTCAACTGTCTTTCATTCAAAATATGTTTTTGGTCAAAATATCAACAGTTTTTGATGTATGTTTTCATGTTAATAAGACTATTCGAAAATTGTGAATACTTATTCTAAAACTGATTCAATTTGACAGTTGAATTGAGTTGAAATCCGGATTTGGACAAGGATTGATTATGGGAAACGGGCGATATACTGTTTATTGGATTATCCTGTCATTCTTTGAGGCCATTCCATCACCACATCAATTGCAGCAGCGTTCCACAAACAAGTTGAATCGGGGGACTTTGGTGTTATACACGCGCCCTTACAACTTTAGGGATAGTGTCGTTAAGTCGCTATTTAACAGTAAGTAGTTAAACTAATATTAACTACCGGATACAACAGTAATTGCATGTAGTCACTGTGTCGGTTTGTGTTATTAGTGAATAAAGTACTCTTATTCACATCCGTGGCCGTCTGTATAAAGCTGCTACATGTGCCATCGGCAGCTGCTTTTCAATGAGGGCTATCCTACCACTTTAGCGCTCACCAGTTAGCGCCACTGTAGAGTAAGGTTCTGTCACTTGCTAGTAGCGAAGACAGTGGCACCAACTGGTGAGCGCTAAAGTGGTAGGAAGACTATCGCATTTGCACTCATCAAGATGGCGCCACTGTAGAGTAAGGTCCTGTCAATCGCCAGGGGTGCCAGCTGTTAAGTATAAAAACGATAGCCCTCATTCAACCCACTTCGGAATAGCATCTTTCGGAATGAAGTACTTGCTATCACTGCACACTACCTCCCTAACCCGTCTGGCCAGCATGGGTAATGAAGGCCAATTCACCCATTTGTAAAATAGGTTAGTGCTCCTGCGCCTTCTTTGGAGGCTAAATTACTTGATGATGAAACTGTACGCTGCGCTTCTGGGCAGGCCTATTGGTCTGTAATTCACCTGGCTGGCGTCGTAGTTCCACTTCACGTGGTCAGCGTACTCCACCCAGCGACTGCGGCCCAGCATATAGTACGTGTTCTCGTAGTAGCGGTTCCCGAAGCAATCGCAGCCCTTCAGGACGCCTTCCTGAAGAACGTTTGGCAATTATACAGGGTGTGGTTTTGTAAAACAACGCCCATCTCCTACTTGACGGATATGATCTTGAGTCGGCCGTTTGTTGTAGTGTTTCGAAAGACTCCTCCACCGAGAAGTCGCAGGTTCGATTCCCGCTCAGTATAAACAAACATTTGTGTGCATGAACATGTACAGCTTTCGCCCGCGATTTCGCGTGAATATTGGTCTGTCACAAACCTTTACCACTGTCCCCTTTCTAAAAGCTGGGATGAAAACTATTCCACTCATGTTTACTTACTCTGACTCTCAAACTACCTCCACATCTCGTCTAAATCTTTTCTGTGGTTCAAGAGTGAAATAATAACAAACATCTTTGTTCTTTCATCCATAAATTCGTTATTTCATATTAGGTAGTCTATAGCAAAAATATTAACTCTCACATCCGCTCCCCACTCGACACACTTTCCACCTCCACCTACATTACATTCAATGTCTGCAAGATGTCTAATAATTGTACCTATAGTATCTTGTAGTTGTAGTTGCAAAGTTTATAGACTTAGCATTTGATGCCAGGGAGTCCTTCAAATATTACAAGGCGATGCCTCTTTTATTTAAAGCATACCTAAGTGTCAATGGATGGATAATGAAGAAACATCAAAACTCGGAGTCCCTGAAAAAAAATCTCCTTTTTAAGACGTACACTGCCATCTAGTTAAAGTGCCCGTAAGCGCGTTCTCGCAAAAGCAGCTTCGCCCTGGAAGGTCTGACACCCGGCACTATAAATGGGGGCATCTTGTAATTAAACAACACCCAATTCATTGTGTTTACAGATAGATGGAGTGTTTCACCACACACAATTACTTTTTTAGAAGTACCTAGACTTGTTAGATATGTGGAAAACATTGAAAGATTTAGGTATTAGGCTATTTAATTGAATGTCCTTAATCTAAAAAACCGGCCAAGTGCGAGTCGGGCTCGCGCACAAAGGGTTCCGTAGCAGCAACAGTTAAATCAACCTATCTCAAAAACTATAAGAGATACTTTGATCAAACCAAAAATCGTTGAAAGAGTTAATTAGCATGCATCACCTCTATTTTTTTTAGAATTTTATACCCCGTAGTTATAAAAATAGAGGGGGGGGGACATACTTTTTACGACTTTGAGAGCTGATATCTCAAAAACCGTTCACTTTAAGAAAAATGTTTTTTAGAAAACTTTATATCATTTTAAAAGACCTTTCCATTGATACCCCACACGGGTATGTACATCGAAAAAAAATTTTCATCCCTCAGTTACATGTATGGGGGGCCCCACCCCCAATTCTTTTTTTTACTATTTAGTGTCATAATTTTGTAGCGGTTCATACAACACATATTCCCATCAAATTTCATCACTGTAGTACTTATAGTTTCCGAGTAAATCGGCTGTGACAGACGGACAGACGGACAGACGGACAGACGGACAGACGGACAGACGGACATGACGAAACTATAAGGGTTCCGTTTTTGCCATTTTGGCTACGGAACCCTAAAAATGCTACAATAAGGCGACCACGAGCCGGAAGACGTAGCGTGGACAGGCCTCCCACTAGGTGGACCAACGATCTGGTGAAGGTTGCGGGAGGTGCCTGAATGCGGGCGGCGCAGGACCGGTCTTTGTGGAAAACCTTGAGCGAGGCCTTTATCCAGCTGTGGACGTCTTTCGGCTAAAACGAACGAACGAACGAAGCGCCCGTGTACACGATGCGGTGGCGGTGCAGCAGCAGCACGGTGGGTCTCGAATGGTGTGTGTCAACGTGACGTTTAGAATAAATATAAACTTTATTGACATAAAAACAAGTACAGTATAAAATAGCGAAGCCCCTGACTCCTGTGCTAGGTGTAACTAACAGTGGGTTCGGTTAGTCAGAGCCCTTCTGGCAGGGAGAACCCCACTCATAACCCACTAGCTGCCCCCGCGGTTGGTGGGTATACAAATTCATGTATTTTCCTGCCAAAAAAAATCTCTTACGGAACTCACAATTTTAGCATATTTTACGGTGAAATGAAGACACCACCAAGGTGCGGCGGCGGTGCAGTGAGGGTGCGGAGGCGGCATCGTGTAGGTACACGAGCGCTAAGTAGAATAATTTACAGGTACTTAACTTCCAAAAATATAAATGGTTATATACCTTCAAAGTGTCGTACCGCCATATCTTATACAGCGCTTTGAATGGCCCTCCGTTCTTCGCAATAATCCGTACTAATGCAGCCCATTTGTCCAAAGCCAAAAGAGACATTGCTATTACGTATATAAATGTGGTAAGAATTATTTTATAGACTGAAATGTATGCCTGTCTGTATGTTTACGACTACACTGACGTTAGATTATGACAATTTATGTTTTTAAATTTTAACTTAAGCCATGAACGAGCATCCAAAGGAGGTGTGTTACAGAGGAGTGGAGGTGTATGAATAATTTTTGTGTTAATATTCCATCCCTAAACTTTAAATTTTTGACAAATGGCAATGCCAAGATTTTGTATGGAAGGTGGCGTCTTTTTTTTTCGCGCACCATCGACCAAACTTTGTATTTTGATTACAAAATAGTGTAATCATGGACCTATAAAAAAAGGCGGACGGAACTCGCGCTACAACAAAACTGTGACGCAAAATTTTGGCGTTTGTCTATTGTGTGAGTGAATTTAGGGATGCCATGTTAGCCAAAACATTTTACCCATTTATTTTAAGAAAAACATAGATCGGCAGATGTTACTTGGAAATGTAGACAGAATTATTCCGTGCCATTTTAAAAGGATGAAAGGTGAATGCGTTGAGGTAGGCGCGAAATTTTCAATGTTCAAATTTTCTTACATTGTTTGCAAGTCAGTGTGTCAGGGTATGTACATAATGTTGATCAAAAATAATTCACGCAGTTACAAATTACGAATCTTGTGTACATTATAATCATAATCTTATGCATCATCAATATATTATTATTATCTCTGATAGATTTTTTTTAACATACAACCTGACACTGACTTGCAATCAATGTAAGAAAATTTGAATTTCGCAGTTCCACATTTTTGGGCAAATTTCAAGCGTCTAACTTAAGCGGTTTAGATTTTTCATACAAAAGGATTTTCCCGCTAATTCCCGTTCCCTTGGGAATTTTGGTAATTCCTTTCTTAGTGCACCTCTACGGTATTTAAGCTACGTCCCTTCCAAATTTCAAGTGCCTACGTTTAGCCGTTTAGGCTGTGTGTTGATCTGTCACTAAGTCAGTCAGTTTCTCCTTTTATTGTATAATATTTAGATTCTTTTTTAACTACAATGTCGTTTATATAAATTACATTGATGTTTTTTAGTTCTTTTTTGTTTCTTTGAGTAATATTTGATTTTAATATTGATTTGATTTTAAAGGTGGAAGAAAAAACGTAAGAAACTATTAATAGCAGGGTTACTAGCCAATGGATGGCTAATAATGGCTATTAATAGATAATAATCAGTTATTATCCAAACTAGCTGGCTACAAACCCATCTCTAAGCATAATTGACTTTAGATGAAGTAAAATTATTCCAAAACTATTAAATTTCGGATTTTTTAAAATATCACGTGAGATTAGGGGGTGGGGGAGGGGGTCAGGCAAAATCTCACCAAATCTCACCAAGGGGGGCGGGGGGGTTGAAAAATAGCCAAAATTGTCTCACGTAATTTATGGACGCCCCCTAACTCGCAGCTCCGTCCCAAAGACTTCGGCAGGACACAGTCAGGTTTTAGTGAGTAGGCCCTGCCCATCTGGCAGGGAGAGCCTCACATAACCCACTGGTTCCCCCGGGCCAGTGGGTATACAATTTCATGCATTTCCTGACGAAAAAAAAAAAAAAATTAGCGCCGACATAGCGCTCGTGTGGCAGATTCTGTGCAGATACTGCGTTGAAATAATTACGTTGCGATAACGCGTCGCAGCCGCAACGCTCGTGTGACACCTCTCTTAGTCTATTATGGTTGAGTATTGAGTATTAAATGCAAAAAGATTTCATTTCTTAGTCCTACTATTTACAGATGAATAAATAAAACACACATTGAAAAGCAACAAATCATTTATTGTTAACAATCTTTCACGTACTGAAATTCACAGCCTAAAAGAAATAAACTTTGTTTAGAAAAAACATGCCTTATTTTACTTATAAATATTTATAATAATAGGTACATCGACTCTGAACTTAGCCTTAAAAAAGTACAACCAAAAATGTTAAATATATCTATGAATATAACTTTACTTAACTCATCGCACTGATTCGCTCTTTAGGTTTAATTTCACTTTACTTCTGACTAAAAATACTAAACTAAAATAATAAATGTTGAAAACAACGACTCCAAAAAGTAACGCGAAACATACTTCAGGCCAGAAAGATGGAATGGAAAAATGATTCGCGTCAATTTTTGGTGGCCAGCCAGCTCCGTATGGAATGTAAATATAAAGAAGCCATCTATCTTTAATGTTACTAATTAAGTAATTCTATACTGTAGACACATTACAATATTGTTGATAGCAGTGTTCATTTAATACCCTACTCACTAAAATAAACTAATACTAAATTACATAAACTATACATCTATAAGTAAAAAATATATAATGTTTGGCTATGGTATACACATTTGTGAGAATGGATTCGCTATGTGTATATTATGTATGTTACAAAAAAGTATTTAAAAAGTAAAATAATTTGTTGTATCAACATCATGTTCCTAATTGAAAGGATCATGCGTACACGATTTTCCATAACGATCGATCAGTAGTATGGCAAACGGGAAAAAAGTCCCAATGGATCGACTAACCGGTCGACCGATCGGACGAATCAGTTCAATATAATAAGTATATTAATTTTAGTATCCATTTCGAAACTAATAATATTCAATTTATTAGCTTCGAAATTGCAAAAATAGACATGATATAAACCGCAAAAAGACTACGGGTAGTACGGATCAACCCCAGTCACTCAACACGGCGAGCTTGTCGGGCAGCCCGTTAGCCACAATGAGTGGGCCGGGGGCCGTCGAGACATTTGCCGGGCATTTTCAAAAACCCCCACAGGGTCTGTGAGGGCGTTTGCCGGCGTTTGGGGGACATTTTTGTCTGTGTCAGCGACGACGAAGTGCTCTCAGTGTCAGATGAGTGTCATAGAGAATGTTTTTGATAATATTTCGCACTGTGCAAGTACATCAGCGTTGTCAGCGTGAAATACTTGGTGATACCCAAAAAAATCAAAAAGTTCTCAACACGTCTTTGTTAAAATTGGAATATGTGTTGTGTTGTCGACTTTTTGGCCACTTTGGGCGTCACGAACTATTTGACGTTGACTGCACTGTGTCGTAACTGTGACTTCACTGATGTGTGAATCGACCTTAACAACACAGCGAGGAATGCATCAAATTACTGTAATATATACTTTGATGAAATAGTACAGTTTTGGCACAACTCTAAAGGAACTTGCTGCTTATACAATTTTATGAGATAAAGAAATAAAGAAAGAGTACCACCAACATTAGTAAAAAAATATTATATTCTAGTACGTTATCATCACATCATCAGATCAATTAGTTGTTAAGACACCCAGGGAGAGTGGGGGAGAACGTAAAATGCTACATCTACATTTTTCCTGAACGAGATAACTATGATTCTATTTATGAATGAAAATATACTATATTTGCTACATAACCTATTAAGTACTTATTATTTAACTTCTTGGCATCTACAATGGAAGAACACGGTCTAGCACAACAATAATACTGCCTGTCCGAGTAAAATTTATTCTAATAAGAAGAAGTGATGATGACGAGTACTTTTAAAGAGAACTAGTTAATATTTAAACTGGTCCAATTACGGTTCAACTTTCATCAATGCCTGCCCTGCATCACTTCACTTTCATTCAAATTTCAAGATAGTATTAATATCAAAACTGTTGGTAAACCCCCTGAAATAAATAAAAAATCACGCCTAATTTGAGGGTATCCGTAGAGATGGATAAGATGATAGTACGTTCACCACCCGAACCTGCATTAGCACGAGTGGCGTGTGTCAATTTATAATTTCGAAATAAAATAGCCTATTATAGGCAGAGGCCAAACTTTCCAACTATAGCCCTACCATACAAACTATACTGTAAGTAGGACTATAGTTTAATGACTTTATTTTTTCTTTCGATTTCGTTAAGGATTTGAAGAAGTACGTATACTTCATTTAAATTTAAATTTCAAAAAATAAAAAGCGCATACATAATAGACGCAACAATCCAAACAAAACTTATCACTATGTAATAAATTTTTCGCTTACGTCGATTCCGGTTTTCTGAAATATTTTTTTGATTTATGATTTTTAGTCCACGTTTTCTCACTTGTGACTTCACTGATGTTGCGGCCTAGGCAAGACAAGGTAGGCATTTGACCGCAATCGCACCTGGTGTTAAGTTGAATTGCTTACCATCAGGTGATCCGTCTGCTCGTATGCCACCTATAAGCCCTGTTCATCTCCGCGAGTATGCATCGAAACAAAACACGCACGGCGTACTCTCCAGGGATGTTTAACCCTCACGAGCCAGTGTCGCAAACGCATATATTCTTAAACCATTGTAAAAAAAATATTCACTATGGAAATAAGAAACAATTCCCGTGTGGTGCGCTAGATGGCGACACAGTAGCTTCTTGTAACAGTCAGCCCTATCGCATCGGCACAGTACCGATCACTGACATAAGTCAAACGAAACGGTGCTAGACTCTGAGATAAGCTAAAATACACCATAATTATTGTTGACGACATTAAGTAGACATTTTTTAAACACCTTCGCGAAGAAAGCTTTCTGTATAGCCTGACCAGGAACATAAAAACCCTCGCCATGTTGCGGAAAACTAATGGTACTAATTTCTTTTAATGGCAACAGTTACTGAAAACTTCATTAACATGTCACCTTGCATGTCAGTCTATTGCTGTCAAAGTGTAAACAAACTTTATTTTAAATGTGTGCAATTGATTTTGTGAATTAAATTGCTAAAATATTTTTATAGTCGTGAAAGAAAAGTGGTTCACAATGTGTTAATGTATTTGTCGAAGAGAAATACCAAGGGTTCGGACAATATTTTCATTGAATAATGTTTCCGACAATGGTTTTCAAATTGACTGACATGTTTATCGTATAGTACAGTCCACTATGAAAATTAGCTGTAGTTTGTTTCAACTACCTATTTTAAAGTTTTTTGTCACTTTCTCAGTTTTGAATTTTATGGAATTGGGAAAGAAGTACCGAGTTTGAAGCGTTCATGAGCAGACATTGCAGTTGAATATTCAAGTTCTGAATTTGATTATT